AGAACATAGAATAGACCATAGGATAGAATATAGAATAGGATAGGATAGAATAGAATAGAATAGAATAGAATAGAACATAGAATAGACCATAGGATAGAATATAGAATAGGATAGGATAGAATAGAATAGAATAGAATAGAACAGAACATAGAATAGACCATAGGATAGATCATAGGATAGAATATAGAATAGGATAGGTAGGATAGGATAGAATAGAATAGAATAGAACATAGAATAGACCAAACGATAGAATATAGAATAGGATAAGGTAGGTAGAATAGAATAGAATATAGGATAGGATAGAATAGAATAGAACATAGAATAGACCATAGGATAGGATAGGATAGGATAGACCATAGGATAGAATATAGAATAGGATAGGTAGGATAGAATAGAATAGAATAGAATAGAACATAGAATAGAACATAGGATAGGATAGGATAGGATAGGATAGAAGAGAATAATAAAATATAGAATGAATAGAATAGAGAATAAAGTGAAGAATAGAATAAAACATAGAATAGAATAATAAAATATAGAATGAATAGAATAGAGAATAGAATAGGGAATAGAATAGAATATATTAAAATTCAGAATTAGAATAGAATAGCATAGCATACAGTAAAGGGTAAAGGTTCCTCTTGCACATCTGTGCCAGTCGTTTCCGACTCTAGGGGGCGGTGCTCATCTCCGTTTCAAAGCCGAAGAGCCAGCGCTGTCCGAAGATCATGTGGCTGGCAAGACTAGATGCCGAAGGCGCACGGGACGCTGTTCCCTTCCCATTAAAGGTGGTCCCTATTTTTCCACTTGCATTTTTCACGTGCTTTCGAACGGCTCGGTTGGCACAAGTCACGGGAGCTCACCCCGTTATGCGGCGCTCGGGATTCGAACGGCCGACCTTTCTGATCGACAGGCTCAGCGTCTCAGCCCCTGAGCCACCCTGCGGCTTGTGTTACTTTGCCCAAATTGTCGTTGCCCACCCCCCACCCCCCCTGTCGTGCAGAAACCCTGCCTCCGAAATCGACTCTCCTTGTCTGACGTCACCGAAGAGATGTGGACAAACGAACATCTGGCCGCCATGGACCAGTTCCTGAAGGACGTCACCCAAACCATGATTGTATTTTACGTCGACGAATTCGCCGGCTTGAAAGTGGAGCCGGTCATGCCTCACCAGGTGAGTCAATCAATCAATCAATCAACCAATCAATCAGAACAGAGCTGGAAGGGACCTTGGAGGTCTTCTAGTCCAACCCTCTGCTCAAGCAGGAGATTCTACACCGTTTCAGACAAGTTAGCTGTCCGGTCCCTTCTTAAAAACCTCCAGTGATGGAGCACCCACAATTTTTATTTCAATAAATAAATGAATGTATTTTCCAAAGCACCGAAAGGAGGACAAGAGATGACGGATAGAATTTAGACCAGAGATATTCTTACTAGGAATTATCCCAGAGGAACTTAAGAAGGAGGATACTTATTTGATCATACACGTAACTACAGCAGCGAGAATTGTATTTGCCCAAAATTGGAAATGAAATAAGTTACCAACAGATGAAGGGATAATAATAATAATAAAAAAGACATTAGATTGTGCAGAGAGGAATAGGTTGACAACGAAAATAAAGGATAAAGAGGAATCGATGTACTTCGAGACATGGGGAAATATTTTATGATTGGTTAGAGAAAGGAAGCTAGAAAAGAAAGTAAGGAGACGATGCACTGTTAAAATGGAAAGGGGGGGGAAGGAGGGGAAAACAGAAAAGAAAATATTAAATATGCAAGTATATATTGAAGAGCGAGATATGAAGGGGGAAAAACATAGTTAGGATAGATTAGCGAAGGTACGGGAATAAGAAATGCTAAATTATATTTGGGTTTGCGGAAATACCACGCCAAGAAAACATAAACGGAGAAAGAGACACCTGTAACAACAGAAAAAGAAAGGGAGAGAGAAGGAGAGAACGAGAGGAAGAAGAGGGAAGGAAGAAAGAGGTAAGGAGTGGAGGGTGGAAGGGAGAGAAAGAGAAGGAGAGTGGGTAGGAAGGGGAAGAGTAGGAGTACGGGAGAGGTAAGGGAAGAAGGAAGGGGAAGGAGAGGAGGAAGGAAGAAAGTAGAGAAGGGAGGGAAGGAGAAAAGAAAGGGAAAATGAAGTGGCAGAAGGGATGAGAAATAAAGCAACTCAAAATGTATATTATAATCCATTAAACGGAATAACGGATATATAAGAAAGATAAATGTAAAGAATCATCATTATGTGAATGTATCCTTTAAATGGTATGTAAGAATTAAAAAATTGGGAGTGGGGAGGAAAGAAACGAAGGGATAGAACCGAATTAAGGAGAGAAGCAAACTGGAATTAAGAAGAAACAACAGCGAGGATAATTAACCAGGGGAACCGCTTGCCACCAGAAGTTGTGGGTGCTCCCATCACCAGAGGCTTTGAAGAACGAGATCGGACAGCCCCTGGATGGTATAGGGTCTCCTGCTCGAGCAGGGGTTGGACTAGACGACCCCCGAGGTCCCTTCCAACGATGTTCTGATTGCGTAACCTTGGATGACCTCCAGAATGCTTACGACTGCCTAGCGCGGGCCTGTCAAATGGTCGGCCCGCGGGCCAGATACACACCGTCTCCGGTTCCGCAAAGGCCAAAAAAATATATGTCGCGATATGTCGCGGTGCGGGCAGTTTCGACACTCCTGGTCTAGTGGAGTTCCACCTTCAAACCTTGGGTGGACTTCAGCTCCCAGAATCCCCTCACACAAATGCATCCCTTTCGATATGATTGTGGCCTGCTTACTCTCGTGTCGTCCCTTCCTCTGCGGTCTCCCCCTTATTCTGTCCAGTGGGTCCATCTAAGTGACTGTTGAGTCAAGCAGAGGCTGTTGTAAAGGACAGAACAGAACATCGTTTGAATTGAAGGGACTTTGGAGGTCATCTAGACCAGGGGTCCCTAACCTTTCAGGCCTCAGGGAGCACTAAATGCATAATTTTACATCTCGCGGACCACTAATATGATCTACCTAATGACCGGCTGGGTGGGCGTGGCTAGGTGGTCATGTGACTGGGTGGGCGTGGCCAACTCGATGTCACTCACACCGAGGGGCGCATCTACTCGTCCCTCCCCTCCCCGCCACTCCTCCCCTGCCCTCCCGGGCTCCTTAGGGCCCCAACCGGAAGCCGTTGCTGGAGCTAAGCAGCCACCGCGAGAAAGAATTGGCAAAACAGCTCAGTTCAAATCGGATCTCGCCGAGAGGGAGGCTAAGCAGAAGCACCTCACTGAGGACTAGGAGCACGGGCTTTCCAAGCAGAGGGAAGAGCTGTGGGAGTGCAAGGCCAGGTGCCGGCGCCCGGAGGCTCAGCGGGATGAGATGGTCAGCCAGTTTGAAACCATGATGCAGTCCCACTGGAACGAGGCCCTCCGGCTCTTCGCCACTGGCGGCTCTTCCCTCCAGCCTTCGCCCAAAGCCCCCCACCAGGAGGCTGAAGCAGACCCCGAGTCAGGATATCTG